GTTTATTTATTATTAGTTACTGTAATGTCGCGCTGCTTTATTTGGTTAATCGTCCAGCCTATGAAGGCATTCAAGTAAGAATTGCATTTTAGTATGACATTTTCTGGCGTGTACAATTTATATTAGGTCAGCGTTCACGGTTAGACTTCTGATATTCAGATCGAGTTCTAGGTCAATCAGGTTTATTCGACTTTAAAGAAATTCGAGTTCTAGTGAGTTCGAGAACCGAGGAACCACTGTACTACAATTTTTGGTATTATAATAGCCAATCTGCTTACCAAATAAACACAGACGGTGGACAACTTTCGCCAATGTGCAAATAGCATTCAATTAAGAAAATTAATCCCAGTATTAAAATAATTATACGCACCATATGATTGGTAGAGGCAAACTGGATCAAAAACAGGAAACTGTGATCAATAAAATTGAAATATGTGCAAAAAATAAAACAATAACTGGAATAGCAAGCAAAAAAGCAGCGATGTCAAATACGCGAAATCTGCGCGGTAATATTGCCAATTTTTTTACCAAAGTAGGTAACTTGACTTCCGCTCGTACATTTCCATTAGCGCGTTGCGGAACAAAGCTGGAAAAAAAATGAACAAGGCTAGTTTCCAAAACTTTTCCCTTTCCATCCAATAATTTCAAAACTTATCCAGGGCCTGGAAAAATAATTTCCAAAATTCCAAAACTTTTCCAGGTTTTCCATGACCGCGGGTACCCCGATCCATGGTCTAAATAGGACATTCTGAATGACAAATAATGCTCTGACCCTTTCAGATTGAATTAAAGAACACACCCATAATGACCAGCAGGCTAATGATTAATTTTAGTTGTTAATCCATATTCAAATAACTTAGTTAATTATGTCTGAGAGCTCCAGGCTGCTAACATACATAACATACCTGGGGCAACAACAGATAAACTGCAGAACTGGCAGTTGGAAACTGTCCATCTCTTCATATGCATGTGATGTACTTCCGCTAGATGTTTTGAGAAATTGGTTGCGTTTCCACCTTTACATGCAAAACACTTGTTGCAGTGAGCATTGTCAGCATCGACTGTCATGAAATGTCATTACTTTTGACCGGTTAGTCTGCTCCGCCGTCATCGCTAAAAGCAGGGGATGTGCGTGTCTGCGCGTGCTGCGTGTTGCTGCAAGAGAGAGAGTGACTGAGACACACAGGCTCAGAGAGATCTCTCTTCTAGCAAAAACGCAATCAGAATCCACCTTGGCGAGGTGATATGTGAAAAAGAACTTTTGTGTAGCAGTAAAAAAGAGGAAATGTATTTTCTTAATTTCTCCACTACTGAAAACAAAATCGATAACGTCAAAGCTTATTGATACTACGGTTTAAAAATTTAGCTCTGGGGCCCCTTTAACACTGGGTTTTGCTACACATCTGGAGTATTAATTGATTTACTCGATTTAAAGTAAATGTTTTCAAATGTCATTAACTGTAATTTCAGCAGCTTCTAATGCTAACTATGTTGCAGTTGGAGACGACCTTCAAGATAAATTGTAAACACTCCCTTTGAATCTTTGTAGAACAAACCCTAAACATCAACAGGCCAGAGAAGGGGAACCCAACATAAAGGCATATTACAGAAACAGTATAAAAAAATGTGATACACTTATTGGACTGATTGCAATAAAGAACTGTCAATTATGTGAGTCTGCTGGTGTCTCTTTACATGTCCTAATTGACTGAAGCTCTTCCCACACTGGGAGCAATGGTAGGGCCTCTCCCCTGTGTGAATTCGCTGGTGTGCCTTTAGGTTTCCTAATTGATTAAAGCTTTTCCCACACTGGGAGCACTGGTAGGGCCTCTCCCCTGTGTGAGTCCGCTGGTGTCCCTTTAGGGTTTCTGATTGACTGAAGCTCTTTCCACACTGGGAGCACTGGTAGGGCCTCTCCCCTGTGTGAGTCCGCTGGTGTCCCTTTAGGTTTCCTAATTGGTTGAAGCTTTTCCCACACTGGGAGCACTGGTAGGGCCTCTCCCCTGTGTGAATCCGCTGGTGTCTCTTTAGGGTTTCTGACTTAATGAAGCTTTTCCCACATTGGAAGCACTGGTAGGGCCTCTCCCCTATGTGAATCTGCTGGTGTCTCTTTAGGTTTCCTAATTGACTGAAACTCTTTCCACACTGGGAGCACTGGTAGGGCCTCTCCCCTGTGTGAGTCCGCTGGTGTCCCTTTAGGTTTCCTGATTGATTGAAGCTTTTCCCACACTGGGAGCACTGGTAGGGCCTCTCCCCTGTGTGAATCCGCTGGTGTGCCTTTAGGGTTTCTGACTGAATGAAGCTTTTCCCACACTGGAAGCACTGGTAGGGCCTCTCCCCTATGTGAATCTGCTGGTGTCTCTTTAGGTGTCCTAATTGACTGAAGCTCTTTCCACACTGGGAGCACTGGTAGGGCCTCTCCCCTGTGTGAGTCCGCTGGTGTCCCTTTAGGTTTCCTAATTGATTGAAGGTTTTCCCACACTGGGAGCACTCGTAGGGCCTCTCCCCTGTGTGAATCTGCTGGTGTGCCTTTAGGGTTTCTGACTTACTGAAGCTTTTCCCACACTGGCAGCACTGGTAGGGCCTCTCCCCTGTGTGAATCCGCTGGTGTGCCTTTAGGGTTCCTAATTGATTGAAGCTCTTTCCACACTGGGAGCACTGGTAGGGCCTCTCCCCTATGTGAATCCGCTGGTGTCTCTTTAGGTTATCTAATCGACTGAAGCTTTTCCCACACTGGGAGCACTGGTAGGGCCTCTCCCCTGTGTGAATCCGCTGGTGTGCCTTTAGGGTTTCTAATTGATTGAAGCTCTTTCCACACTGGGAGCACTGGTGGGGCCTCTCCCCTGTGTGAATTTGCTGGTGTTTCTTCAGGGTTGCTAATAGACTGAAGCTCTTCCTACACTGGGAGCAATGGTAGAGCTTCTCCCCTGTGTGAATCTGCTGGTGTCTCTTTAGGGTTCCTAATTGACTGAAGCTATTCCCACACTGGGAGCACTGGTAAGGACTTTCCTTTGTGTGAGTCTTCTGGTGCTGCTTTAGGTGTCCTAATCGACTGAAGCTCTTCCCACACTGGGAGCACTGGTAGGGCCTCTCCCCTGTGTGAGTCCGCTGGTGCTCCTTTAGATTTGCTGAACGATTGAAGCTCTTCCCACACTGGGAGCACTGGTAGGGCTTCTCCCCTGTGTGAATCCCCTGGTGTCTCTTTAGGGTTCCTAAACGATTGAAGCTATTTCCACACTGGGAGCACTGGTAGGGACTTTCCCTTGTGTGAGTCCGCTGGTGCTCCTTTAGATTTGCTAAACGATTGAAGCTCTTCCCACACTGTGAACACTGGTAGGACTTCTCCCTTGTGTGAATTTGCTGGTGTCTATTTAGGTGTCCTAATCGACTGAAGCTCTTCCCACACTGTGAACACTGGTAGGGCCTCTCCCCTGTGTGAATCTGCTGGTGTCTATTTAGGTGTCCTAATCGACTGAAGCTCTTCCCACACTGTGAACACTGGTAGGACTTCTCCCTTGTGTGAATTTGCTGGTGTCTATTTAGGTGTCCTAATCGACTGAAGCTCTTCCCACACTGTGAACACTGGTAGGACTTCTCCCTTGTGTGAATTTGCTGGTCTCTTTTACAACCACTTTTTTTATTGAAAGTCTTCTCACCCTGGGTACCTCGTTGAGCTGTCAGAGTGTCTGTACTGGCTTCTCCCAGGGTACTGAGTGTGTCTGTA